CGGTAGAGAATTATATTCGCCGACGTTTCGGTTACCGTGGGTAACCTTTCTCAAGGCAGGTTTTACAATCAATGGGTAGCTATTTTTTCTTGGTTTTGATAGCCACGACGAGACTTCTATGAACTGTGAAAAGGAAGATAACTGCTTTCACTTTTCTGTCAGCTCAGAACCCAGCATTTAGCTTTCGATTGTGGTGAAAGCTTCAAAATTATACCACCTGTTATCACATGAATCCCAGTTTTTTTCAGGTACTATGACTCTAGTAACTACGAAATTTTACCAACTACTCTGAGATGTGAATTTAAAACGTTGGGTCCATTTTATCCATCGCATGAAGACCGAAAGAAGACATGTCACATGTCACATGTCACGAGATGTTAACATTTCGTTTTATCTTCTCAATCGCTGAATTAAAGTGAACAAGCACATTTTACAGTACACTGGATTTGTAAATTCTATGAAACGGACATGTACAGACAGGCAGCGGTTATTAGAATTAAAAACAACAGGTCAACTCTACGCCAAGTGAACTGATTGGGTCAACAACTTTTGCGAGCACAGAAAGCGATAATGTAATCAGATTAGCAACGCCTCAGTTAAAGCACTTACGTAATAACGGTTTGAAAGAGGAAGCGGGATCAATTATACGTTTAGTTGTCTTGAGGTGTTTTGCAATTGATAACCGCGTGCTAAAGGTGACAGCCTGACTATTGGGTGTGAGTTGCGTCACCAATAGATGTGTCACCACAACTGCAGGTAAACTAGTATACAATGTGTTAGTCAGAACTGGATTGCCAACCTTGTAGACGTTCGTCCAAATCGATTCCACGAGACAGACCATAAGTCGGAGTTGAGCAGTTGGGAATGTGCGGTTAAATGCTGACTTTAACTTTTGACCTACATCTGTGGTTCACGGCTGTTTATCTCAGGTGTGTTCGTTTGACCTGACCCATCGAAGCTTGTAGAGAACTGAGTAAAATCTCACCATTGATTTTCGGGTTGATGTCGTGGGTTATCAGTTGAGGTACTTTGGATACTCTGGATTTCTATCTCATTCAAATCATTTATACATGTATGTTGATCGGATGTTTAGTGATGACAAATCGTCCCTCGCAGGTAACACAATCGTTGAGCTTCTATGTTCTACAATTATAGACGAGTGTCCGCCTGGAGACGCTTGAAAGTGTATTTGTCATATGAAGTCATATGCCGTCCGATGCATAATACAGTTTACACTTGAACGACATCACACTCAAGGTAAATACTCCAGGAGTCAAAACGTTTGACGTCTTGATTATATATGGGGTTCTGTGGTAATCGGTACTTGGTATCCGGAATTGAATCGCAATAATCCGCGCAATTAAGCTCCAACCGAACTAGTACGCAGTATGGAATAGAACTCCAGAACATTCGAAGTCAGTTTTTGTATTACGCGCCGAAATTGTACAAAGTAATCGATCATGTAATGAAACAAGAATGTTCAGTTTATACACAATCACCACAGGTTCTCTACGGGTAACGTGCGACCTTTAATTTTATAATCCACAAATTATACATGTTACCCAACTGAAAAGATCTGTATCATTGTACGGCATTTATTTTCAGATGGGGAATTTTCTGCATACATCAGCCCGTAGAATTGATCACTCCCAACGCAAAAGAAGAATAGACTATTTCTGTAAGCATTTTCTAAATCCATTGATTATTGGAAAGATACAAACTTCCGTTGACTTGTCTTTCACATTTATCTTGAGTATGACTTCTTATTTTATCTTGAAATAAGGAACTGGATCACGTTCCGAGCAAAACGAGTGCCTCATTGACCGTTGGCTGTTCACGCATATATATCCTGTTGAAGACTACTTGAGCCGTATAAAGAGGATGCTGAATGTAATTTCCGGCTCTATTGGAGACAGGAGGTGGGATTATTTTTAAGGAGTTCTGTATCGATAATACTTTCCTTTTTTGCCCTAAGAAATCGAGATGGGTATTGAAACTTTCTTGAAACACATCAGTG